AGAGAAGAAGCAAGAGAGAGAAACTGAGGAACCCAGGCACTATTTAGCAAGCTGCTGTCTCTGATGTAAAATAATCCATTCCTGAGAAAGGAAGAACTCATTGCAGCCAGAAGGCATTCATGACAGTGGTGTCCCTGTAACCTAAACATCCCCAAGTAGGTCCCACCTCTGAACACTGCTGCCACATTAGGTATCAAATTTCAATATGAGTTTTGGCAAAATAATCACATCCAAACCATGGCAACATTATTGTTGGTGAACATATGAGGAAACTGGCACTCTCATGCCCTGTTGGTATATAGGTGAATTGGTACAATGTGCCGAATTTCTGCACATGTGGACCATCTGGCCTAACAAACCCACTGCAAAACATGAGTATACAAAGGTGTTCATCAGAATATTTTTAGTATTGAAAATTGAAGATACTCTGTGTTCATCTATAACCAGTGCTTCTCAATCCCAGCTGACTTCATGCCCTTTTGATAATAAATACTTTGTAACACTCCCTTACAGTCCTGAAATGAAAGTCATAGGTACATACAACAAAATATACCTAACTGTAATGTGAAAAGGAATTTATAACAAAATATGCATTTCATTGTGTAAATAGTCAAAAAAAAAAAAAAGATGTATGTCTAAATTCATTGACATAGTGTTTAATTTTTTAAAAAAAAGCAATTTGGATGGATTCAGTAGCTCATGCGTATAACCAAAGCACCTTGGGAGGCTGAGGAGGGAAGATTGCTTGACACCAGGAATTTAAGGTCAGCTTGGGCAACATAGCGATGCCCTGTCTGTACAACAAACAAACAAACAAACAAAAAACAATTAACCAGATGTGGTGGTGTGCCTATAGTCCCAGCTACTGGGGAGGCTGAGATGGGAGGGTCATTTGATCCCATGAGTTGGAGGCTGCAGTGAGTTTGATTATGCCACAGCACTCCTGCCTGGGTGACAGAGCAAGACCCCGTCTCTATAAACAAAATAAATAATAAATAAAAAACAAAATTTAAAAAAAGCAGCAATTACAGACGTAGTTCTCTTTGTATAAATATATAGTAAAAGGTCTAAAAGAATGCTCACTAGGATATTGATGAATCGACAAATTGTCTCCAGTTATGGGATTTGGAAAGATTTTTATTTTCTTACGCATTTCAATGTTTGAATTTCCTTGCCTTTGTAAAAATAAAAAAGTTTGCATCAAGTCCTATTTGAAGATCACAACACAGATCTCTATGGTTATGGAGCAAGGTCACGCCATCTGCAGTGCAGACTTAAACCCCTTTGGTAAAATAGTCCCTGGCCTTTCCCAAGTGGCTGTTGAAGATGTTGAAGGGGCAGGTTCTGGTAATCGGATGGCCTAGGCCTTTCCTGAGTTGCCTGGTGGTCATAATGGCCAAGCAGGTACCGCTGGGCAGGAAGCTGGAGGTCCTGCACTGCAAGGACATCAGCATTTTTGTCAACTTCTACAGGAACAAGTTTCAGTATCTAACCTTCCACAAGACCATGAGCACCAACTCTCTCTTTAGACCCTACCACTTCTGAGTCTCTTCCACTTTCGGGCACCTAATTGCATCTTTTGGCTGAACCATGAGTGGCATATTGCCCCATAAAACCAAGTGAGGCCTGGCCACCTTGGACCACCTCAAGGTATTTGATGGGATCCACACTCCCTGTGCCCTGCCCTTTGCAAAAGTGGATGGTGATTTCTGCTCTACTCAGGGTTGTGCACCTGAAGCCCACACAGAAGTTTGCCTACCTGGGGCGCCTGGTTCATAAATTTGCCTGGAAGTACCAAGCAGTGACAGCCATTCTGGAGGAGAAGAGGAAGGAGAAAGTCAAGATCCATTAGGAGAAAGAATGGGGAGGGGCAAAGGGGGAAGGAGCAGTTTATGAGGCTGCAGAAACAGGCTGAGAAGAATGTGAAGAAGAGTATCGACAGATACACAGAGGTACTCAAGACCCATGGACTCCTGGTCCGAACCCAGTAAAGAGTATTTATTCCTCACTCTTGGCCTAGCCTGCCCTTTTTCCGTTGCTGCCCTAGTTTTTGGGGGAATCCAAAGGTGACAGTTCTGATGTCCAAGTGCCACAGGCAATCACTAAGGAGTGGCCTGAAAGACAGCAGTGAGGGGAATAGCTGTAAGTGGGCAGAGCTTTGGTTTATGGCTCAAAGTAAAGTTATACATTAATTTATGGGCACTAGCAAAAGGCTTCCTGTTTGGTCACGGGCTGGAAGGACAAATATTGGGGATAAAGAGGTCTGGGAAAGAGGCATGTGGATGACCCTATAAAATGGACATGAAATGTGAAGATCTTTGCTTCATGTGTTAATACCCAACAGAGAGAATCCATCAAAGAAGCACTAGATAACCATAAGGAACGATGTCCCGGCCAGATGACATCAGCCAGTCTCTGCCATTGGCTACACTAGTATTGGCCCAATAGGTAGCCATAGGTGCAGAGATGGAGGTTATACATGGGCCTAATAGCATGGCTCCCAATTAACAAGGCTGATCTAGCTACCACCACTGTCAAATGTCCAATTTACCAGCAACAGAGGCCAATGCTTGGCCCCCAAGGCAGCACCATTCCTTCAGCAGACCTATGAGCTATTTGGTGACAAGTTGTCTACACAGGACCCATTCCATCCTGGAAGTAGTATCAATTTATCTTTATTGAAACTGAAACATATTCCAAGTTGGATCTCCTGCCTGAAGGGTCTCAGGTAGTACCACTGAGGGCTTAAAGTGTTTGATCCACTGACCTAGGATTTGGTACAGCAGTGAGCACAGGACCATGGGCTCCACTGGTCCTACTATATACTACACCACCTAGAAACTGGTACTGATTGAGCACTGGGATGACCTGTTAGAGGTTCAGCTGGGGTGCTAGGTTGCAAAGGATACCCTGTGAGGAGGCACCATACCCCAGGACTCAGTGTACACTCTAAACTGATATTCTCAAATGTGAGAATACAAGAATCCAGGAGCTAAAGAGTAGAAATAGGAATATCTCTGTATATTATGATTCCCAGAGATTTGCTTAGGGAAGTCGTACCTTCTTTCTCCTTAACTTAGAGATTTCGGCTACCAGAGAGAAAATGTTTCCACTAGCGGACACAACAAGAGTCCCATGGAGTGGAGTGTAAGCTGCTGCCTGGTCATTTTAGACTTCTCATTCCAAAAAACAAGGAGACAAGGAGAGGAGTCACCATTCTGGCAAGGGTAATTGATCCTGATTTCAGTAGGGTAGCTGTTCCACAAAAGGGATACGAAAGAATATGTTTGATACCCAAGTGACCCATTTGTGTTTCTCTTGGTTTTTGCTTGCCCAATTTACATGGTCCATGGAAAAGTGTAGCAGCTACAACCTGAGAAGAATTTGGTGATGAAGGACTTGGGCCCCTCACTGAAGAGGGTTTGAGTTATTCCACTAGGTAAGCTACTGTCTTAGTGTGTTTGGGCTGGTATAATAAGTACACAAATTACATGGCCTATAACAACAGAGTTATTTCTTGTAGTTCTGTAACCTGTAAAATGCAAGATCAAGGTACAAGCAAATTTAGTGTTTAATGAGGGCCCACTTCCTGGTACCTTCTTGCTGTGTCTTCACATGGTGGAAGAGGCAAGGCAGGTGTCTGGGACCTCTTTTATAAAGGCACTAATTGTATTCACGAGGGCTCTGTCTTCATGACCTAATCACTTCCAAATCACCCACCTAATACTATCACATTGGTGACTAGTTTCAACATACAAATTCTGGGGATACCCAAACATTCAGTCCATAGCAGCTACCTAGACCAGCAGAGAGTGAGGGGAATCTAGAATGGGTAGTGGAGGAAGGAAATTACTGCACCAATTATGGCCCCAAGAGCAGCTTTCGAGGCTGTAATTAATCCCACCAACCTTCCTCTAGTAAGTTTCTCCAGTTTCTTGGAAGCCCCACAGAATTTTGGAAGAGCTGCTCCTAGATCTTATATTCATAGAGGTAGACAGTAGCGGATATCATGCGTGGTGTACTACAGATTTCCCCTAATCCAGGAATGAAGCAGTCATTCCACTAGATGCTGAAAGTGTTCAAGGCTGACAACTCTCAACTGAATCCTTTACCATCACTTACCCTCTGCTGAAGAGGGCCTTCTCACCTTTCTGGGTACAGCCAAAATGACTGGTCAATGAGATGGCATAAAGTCTTCAGAATTCCCTGTAGGAATGGCTGAGGCCTCTGTTGGACTTCACTGCAGGTCAACTTCTTCCTTTGCCTAAGCCTGCTTTCTTTACTTGTTCTACAGGTGGATCCTAAGAGCACCCACCAATGAAATATCTGCACTCTAATCTTTATCTCAAAATATTTCCCATGGAATTTGACCTGTGACAGTTTCCTTTCCCCACATATCCCTTAACTGTGAAGACCCTTAATATTGTAAATTTTTAAAAAATCAAAATTGCTTAAATAATGAAGGAGACTTATTGGCTTACATAACTAGACAGGTATCAGGATTTATTTGATCAGGGGCTTACTAATTTCAACAAGAACCTAGTTTTGCTCCACCTCCTTTCTGGGCCTTCCACAGAGGCAGCATTATTCCAAACCTAGGCTAGTTCATGATAACAGAGTAGCTATAGTAATTCCAGGTTTAAATTCTCACCTCTCATCAGCCAAACAGGAAGAGAGCACGCTTTTAGTAGCTTTATCTGAAGAACAAGGAAGTCTTTCTCAGTCACCAGCTCTTCAAGTGTTAGTGACACAAATTGGCCAAAGGAATGTTTGGGTTCCCTAAACTATCCACTGTAGCAAGAAGTATAGGATTACCTTGAATGGTCTGAAATAGTCAGGGCTGCTTCCTGGAATTGGTGTTGTGTTTTAATCTTTGCCCCCAACAATCACATGACTACTACACAAGGGGTTAGAATGGAAGTGATGTTGTGGAGGCAAAGTCTATTGGTTTGTTAGGGCTGCCATAAGGAAAAAAAAAAAAAAATCACAGACTAAGAGGCTTCAACAAACAGAAATTTATTCTCTCACAGTTCTGGAGGCTTGAAGTCCAAGATCAAGGTGTTGGCAGGAGTGCTTCTTCAGAACCCTCTCTACTTAACTTGTAGATGGCTGTCTTGTCTCTGTTTTTATGGTCTTCCTTCTGCGTGCACACGTGTCTGTGTCTGTATCCCCTCTTCCTATAAGGACATCAGTCATATTGGATTGAGGCCTACCCTAAAGAGCTCATTTTAAAACAGTCACCTCTTTAAAGACCTTATATACAATATGGTTATGTTCTCAGTTACTGGGAGTTAGGACTTCAACACATGAATTTCAGGGGACACATTTCAGCCCGTAACACAAACCCAACATCAGCATCAATTACATATTATGTTCATCTGCTTGACTGCTGCACTAAATTGTAATTTCTTTAAGGGCAAGGACAACATCCCTCGTGTAGAGCCCAGTACACAGTAGGTACTCAATATGAGATAACTGCTTGTTGAGGACTAAAAAGAGTTCATTGTAGGCCAGGGGTGCTGGCTCACACCTATAATTCCAGCATTTTGGGAGGTCAAGGCAGGCGGATCACCTGAGGTCAGGAGTTTGAGACCAGCCTGGCTAACTAATAGCAAAACTCCGACTCTACTAAATATACAAAAATTAGCTGGGCGTGGTGGTGATGCCTGTAGTCCCAGCTACTCGGGAGGCTGAGGCAGGGAGAATTGCTTGAACCGGGGAGGCAGAGGAGGTTGCAGTGAGCCAAGATTGCACCACTGCACTCCAGCCTGGGTGACAGAGCAAGACTCCTTCTCAAAAAAACCAAAACCAAACCAAACAAAAAAAGAGTTCAGTGTATTTGGCACTTACGAGGTCACAGTGACTTTTTCCAGGTCAGACTTCACAATATAAAAATTAAAACCTTATGACAAAAGCTACCATGAGCAAAGTCCAAAGATGATTATGAAAAAAAAATAGTACCTGCACATATGGAACACCAGGAGTTAAGAGTTGTAATACACAAGGGATCATATAGATAGATCAGAAAAGGATGAAAACAACACAAAATACGACGACTATGAACAGTCCAAAAATATGAAAAGAATTCAACTCCACTAGCAGTCAGCAAAAAGCGAATTGAAACAACAGTGAAATAGCATTTAATGCCTATCAGACTGACAAAAATTTAAGATTCATGCGTTAGTCCTGGCAAGGGTGTGGGAAATGGGTTTGTTCTACATTTAGATTGGAATATGAACTAAAATAATTCTAGCGGTAGAGGTAATCTGGCAGTGTGTCAGTCATAACAGCATTGGTCACAAGTAACAGCAAACCCAACTCAAAAAAGTTACTTATTAAGTCACATAATTGAAAGTCTACACACAGCCCTATTTAGGTTACCTAAATGGTATCATTAGAACCTAGTCTCTTTTCATGTCTTACTTTTGTCCTCTGAGGAGAAGTCATTCTCAGTAAGGGTCTCTTTTTGTGAAGGGAGGTTACATATTCCCATCGACAAGTCCAGCACAGAACAAACGTCTCTGATCTAATTCTGCTTGGCTTGAATTGATTCATGTGCCTATCCCTGAACTACAGAACATTAAAACTAGTGGGGTACTACATTCTTATTAGCCAGTCCTGAGTCAAAGTCCAAGGTAGAAGCCAACGGAGGACCCAATTCCATTTGTAACCTACAGATTGAGAGGAAGAAGACTAATTCATCTGAAAACTGTTATGGAAAAAACCCAACAAAACAACAAAACATAAAACCCACAACCCTCTACAGGCAGTATCTATTAAAATATATTTTTAAAGGCACATATCTATGGTTTTGACAATCTCACTTTTAGGATCAATTCTATACAAAAATGCGTAATTTTAAAAAGATATACATATAAGGATATTTATTCCAGCATCACTTGTAATGACACAAAATCTATAAATCTGTGTTATCTATCAATACAGAAATAGTTTCAAAAATTATGGTACAACAGGCCAAGTATGGTGGCTCACATCTGTAATCCTAGTGCTTTGGGAAGCTAAGGCAGGAGGATCACTTGAGGCCAGGAGCTGGACACCAGCCTGGGCAACATTGCAAGACCCTGTTTCTACCAAAAGTTAAAAAAAAAAAAAAAAATTAGCCAGGCATGGTGGCTCATGCCTGTAGTCCCAGCTACTGGCAAAGTTGAGTCCAGGAATTCAAGGCTGCTGCAGTCAGCTATGATCACTCCTGGGTGATGATACAGAAAGATCCCTCCCCCCCAAAAAAATGGTACATTAATACTATAAAATATTATGCAGCTAGTTAAAAGAATGAGCTGAATATTTATAATTAACTATTGAGTTAGAAAATGTGCAGAAAAACATACATAGTGTGATTATTTGTAAAAATAAAAATAAAAACCTATGTGTTTCTAAAACACATTAGAAAAAGTATTGAGAGAAACGCCAATCTTTTAACATTGGTATTGTCTAGGACTGGGATAGGGAGAAGAAAATGATCTTTTTCTTTATATACTTCTGAATATATTCTATATAGTTCTGTGTGGTTAGAATTGTTAAAATTAATGCGTATTACCTTTTAAAAAGAGTAAATAGAAACTGAAATGAAGAAGCAGTCTTAGAATTTAAATTGTGTTTAAACCTGGAGGAAAGAGATATAAGATAGTCTTCAGTAAAGGAGACATTAAACCTATCGAAGACCAACTAACTCACGGAGCCACATCCTGAGGGGACAGAAGGGAGCTGTTTCAGATCAGAGTCCCAATGTACAAGGGCTGTGATGGTTTCACTGTTCCACAGGGAAATGTAAACAAACAGAATAGTATTACATAACATTTAGTTTTTTTGGCTTGAAAATGCATTTCTTTCTTTCTTTCTTTTTTTTTTTGAGACGGAATCTCGCTCTGTCGCCCAGGCTGGAGTGCAGTGGCCGGATCTCAGCTCACTGCAAGCTCCGCCTCCCGGGTTCACGCCATTCTCCTGCCTCAGCCTCCCGAGTAGCTGGGACTACAGGTGCCCGCCACCTCGCCCGGCTAATTTTTTGTATTTTTTAGTAGAGACGGGGTTTCATCGTGTTAGCCAGGATGGTCTCCATCTCCTGATCTCGTGATCCGGAAAATGCATTTCTTTTAAAGAAATCATGGTGACAAAAGATGGAAGGACTTCACAAATATATACTGTTACTTGTCAAGATTAAAAAGATACCAGCCCTATATCTGCTTTCAAATTGTTAGAAATGTGAATGGCCTATAAAGCAAGTCTGAAAAAAACAGATCTATGGCACAAGTAGAAAGCTAAGCCATGCCTAGTGTTCCATTATTGGAACGCTAAGCATGTGGGAGTTATATCCTACTGCTCAAGGGCATCGCCTAGGTCTGATTGCAAAAATTCAAAAAATTGCAGCCAGGCGTGGTGGCTCACGCCTGTAATCCCAGTACTTTGGGAGGCCAAGGCAGGCGGATCACGAGGTCAGGAGATCGAGACCATCCTGGCTAACATGGTGAAACTCCGAGGCTACTAAAAATACAAAAAATTAGTAGGGCATTGTGGCGGGAGCCTGTAGTCCCAGCTACTCGGGAGGCTGAGGCAGGAGAATGGCGTGAACCTGGGAGGCGGAGGTTGCAGTGAGCCCTGATCGCACCACTGCACTCCAGCCTGTGCGACAGAGTGAGACTCGGTCTCAAAAAAAAATTGCAACCTCAGGCATAAATGGGTTAAACAAGAGAATAGATAGTTCTTCCTCTGTGATAGAGGAACACAACTAGGCATGGATGTACACAGTTGTAGATAAGACTGTTGGTAGAGGGAAAGAAGTTGAGGAGTTTCTCTCTTACAATGACTGGTGAGATCGTTTGCTGGGTTCAGGGTTAAGGGGCTCAGCAGCAGTGGCTGTGAGGCTGAGACTTGAGGGGAGTGATAAACATGTAGAAGAGGTGCTGTCAGGGATAGAAGACCAATCTGAGAGTGTACTAGAGTCTTCAAATTTGGATATACCTGTCTGTATTTGGTTTGGGTTACCAGCCCTTTAATGAAATTGTCTTTGGTTCCTGTATTAGGGTTCTCCAAAGAGAGTTCTCCGTCTCAAAAAAAAAAAAAAAAAATTATGGTACATTAATTCTACATAATATTATGCAGCTAGTTAAAAGAATGAGCTATTTATAATTAACTGTTGAGTTAGAAAGAGTTGAAGAAAAATATATATGGTGTGATTATTTGTAAATACACAAATGAAAACTTCCATGTGTTTTAAAACGTTAGAAAAAGTATTGAGAGAAACTTCAATCTGTTAACATTGGTTTTGTCTAGGACTGGGATATGGAGAAGAAAACAATCTTTTTCTTTACATACTTCTGAGTATATTTTACATACTTCTGTGTTGTTTGAATTGTTAAAATGAATGCCTATTACCTTTAAAAAAGAGTAAATATAAACTGAAAAGAAGAAGTACTCTTAGAATTTAAACTATTTTTAGATCTGAGGCAAACAGAACTAATAGGATATATAGATACATGAGAGGGGATTTATTACGGGAATTGGCTCCTGTGATTATGGAGGCTAACAACTCCCACAACAGGCTATTTGCAAGCTGGAGATGCTGGTATGCTGGGAGTGTGGCTCAGTCCAAGTCTGAAGACCTGATGGTGGGGGTGCTGGTGTTAAGCACTGGAGCCCAAAGGCCAGAGAGCCTGGCGTTTTGATGTCCAAGGCCAGGAGAAGAGTGTATCCCAGTTCCAGAAGAGAGACCGTTTTTGTTCTACCCAGGCTCCCAGCTGATTGGATAGTGCCTGCCCACATTGAGGGTGGATCCTTCCCTTTTAGTCCACTCAGACTCACATGCCAATCTCCTCTGTAAACACCCTCACTGACATACCCAAAAATAATGCTTTACCAATTCTCTAGGTATTCCTAATCCAGTCAAGTTGACATCTAAAATTAACCATCACAGTTTCCTTTCTATGTTCTCCTTCTTTTATTCCATCTCCCTCCCCAGGCTTTGTTTTTATTATTTTATATTCTTTTTATATTTATATTCTTCCTTAGTTTGTTTTTTGCTTTCTATTTTCTTTCAAGGAATGCAATTTTGTTTTTGTACATATTTGAAACCACTATACTGTCTGAGACACTGTATTCATTTATATACATTCTCAAAGCACCTCCCAAATAGATGTCCAATTAATTGTTGCTGAAATAAATTTAATTCCACATAGAAAATAATTGGATAGTATCATCCTGATTAAAACACTTCATAGTTGTGACATGAAATAACTATTCTTCTTCTTATTATTGGAGACAGGGTCTTACTCTGTTGCCCAGCCTGGAGTGAGGTGGCATGATCATGGTTCACTGCAGCCTCAACCTCCTGGGCTCAAACGATTCTCCCACCTCAGCCTCCCAAGTAGCTGGACTACAGGTGTGTGCCACCATGCCGGGTCACCATTAGGTTTTTAAAAAATTCCTGCAAACTATTTTTTCCTCACATGGATATTGTATATTTGGTCATGTTTTCCTTATATGAATTTTAAAATGTATATCATTCCTTTCTTTTTTTGAGACAGAGTCTTGCTCTGTCATCCAGGCTGGAGTGCAGTGGCGTGATTACAGCTCACTGCATCCCTGACCTCCCAGGCTCAAGCAATCCTTCCAGTGCGCACCACTACAGCTGGTGTTTTTTTATTTTTAGTAGAAACTAGGTCTCACTATGTTGCCCAGGCAGTATATCCTTTGAATTCACACATTTTTATTGCCATAAAAATGCCAGAGATCATTAAAATAAAAATATCCTCTCTTATAGAAACTAAGGACCAAAAAGTTAGGTGATTTGTTCAAAACTGAAAAGGTGTTAAGTGACAGTATTAGAACCATACTTTTTCTTTTTTGTTTTTTTGAGATGGAGTCTCACTCTGTCGCCCAGGCTGGAGTGCAGTGGCGCCATCTCAACTCACTGCAACCTCCACCTCCCAAGTTCAAGTGATTCTCCTGCCTCAGCCTCCTGAGTAGCTGGTAGCTGGGATTACAGGCATATGCCACCACGCCTGGCTAATTTTTGTATTTTCAGTAGAGATGGGGTTTCACCATGTTGGCCAGTCTGGTCTTGAACTCCTGACCTCAAGTGATCCACCCACCTCAGCCTCCCAAAGTGCTGGAATTACAGGTGTGAGCCACCACGCCTGGCCAGAACCATGTTTTTCAATCCAGTATATTTATACCATGATTTCCTCCCTTAATTTGATTTTTATACTGTATTCTATTCATAACAGTTAAATTAAAACAGCAGTTATTTCTGAAAAAGCTCCATCAAAATTAATACGTTGATTACCCATTTTTAAAGGTGCCATTGTAGATTTCTGTTGCTATGTGACAGGATTGATATTTTAAGTGCCTGGTAAAGTGCAACACACCAAGTGGACATTCAGTTGAAGGCTGTTTTATGATGCATATCATTTGTGCTTTTTATGGTTAAAATCAAATCTAAAATGTTGACAACAATGGTTGGTATATCAACTTTACTCTTCCATTTTATAGCTCATCTTTTATATTTAGAACTCTGTACCTCTTCATTAAATTGTACATTTTAAAAAGATGAAAACATCAGAGAGAATAATAAATCTTTACGTCCAAACCTAATGATGCTACTGCTGCATACTGAGAAATACACATGATCTTTTCTCTGGGAAGAATGGCCTATTGCAAACCACCACTCTCTTCTATTTGCACATGAAGGTAGAAACCACAGTGGCATTAAGAGCATTTTTCCTTAAGACATGCTCACATGATATCTAGGAGGCCACTGGTAAGAACGTTAAAACTTAGTCTCTGCTAGGAAATAAATACATCAAAAGATTTGGTGTTTTTTAGTTTTGATGAAACCATACTGTTATCATCAATTTAAAATAGTTTTCTATTTGGCAGATTTTATCATTTGGGCTTTAATTAAATTTTGAGAAAAAACACTTTCCTAAAACAAAACTGAGATTTTTAAAAAATATAAAACATACACAGAAGCATGTTGCACCAGGAGTCCATATCAGGAGTCACACTCCTAGAGGCAGGACTCTCTAGAGTGAGTCCTAGAGATTGTATACATAGCAAAGCTACACCCTTATTCTGTTGGATGGCTCATAAGTGTTGATCGGGTTATATCTTTCTACACTAATTTTCACTATTTCTCTTAACAATCATCCTTTATAATCATTCTTTATATCCAAATAGTATATATTCTGTACTATTTGCTCTGATTTTGACAGGGAAAGGTCCTTCATAAGAATTTTGTTCTTCCATGAGAAGAAAGCATTTTAATGTCTCTAGCTCATTTTTCCCTCAAATATCCCAAATACAGTAAAGCCATCTAAATTCCCTAACCCCATATCAAAAACAGTACACTGAAAAACTCCAAAGACTTTGACAGCGACAAGGCTGCCATTCATGTGTTCCTTCAGCAAGTGCCAGACGCTGTTATGAAAGTGATAAGACACTGTCCCAATTCTCACAGTGTGAGGCAGTGAGCAGACTCAACAGAATGCACAGGATGAGAGTGCCAGAAAAGCGACGTCCTCAGGGCGGGAGCAGGGGACGCGGCAACGTAGTCTGCTAGAATGCGGGAAGGCGGCAGCGAAGCGGCCGGTAGGCAGGGCCGCGACAAAGTGGGGAGGAAACTCATCCCGGGCAGGCGTCAGCGTGGCTGGGAGAGCGCAGCGCGCGCGGACAGAACGGGGGCAGGCGACAGGAAAAGGTGTGAACGTGCGGCTGAAAGTGACTAGGACCTGGGTGATCCGCGCGCAGGGAGCAGAGCTTAGTCCTGCGGAAGCCGCAAGCAGGACAATGGCGTGGGTGGGAGGACCGGAAGGTCAGCTGGTAGATGGGGGACACTGAGGGCGGACAGAGCAACTGGAAGCTTGTTGCAATCGACAAGAGAAACTAGGAGGTTAAAGAGTCACTGGCTTTGAAAAAGTCAAAATACTTCCGAAGTAAAACAAAACATTTAACAACCCGCTGAGGAAAAAAGTGGAGGCTGGCACACACGTCACTAACCACAACGTGGAGGTCTTTAAAGTAAATCATGATAAAGTTTTCGTTGTTGTTGCTTGAGACAGGGTCTCGCTCTGTCGCCCAGGCTGGAGTGCAGTGGAACGATCTCGGCTCACTGCAACCTCAGCCTCCCGGGTTCAAGCGATTCTCCCACCTCAACCTCCCGAACGAGGGCTTAATACGTTGCTGAAGCTGGTCTCGAACTCCTGGACTCAAGGGATCCGTCAGCCTCGGCCTCCCAAAGTGCTGGGATTACCGGCGTAAAAGACCGCGCACCTGGTCCAAATTTAATTTTGTGATGTGGGGTTAAGACACGGGAAAGCCCCTAGGCTCGGGGAGTCAGGGGGGAAAGCTCTCCCTCCGGCATCTAAAAAAATGCCCACCAGAAAGGAGGAAAAGTGGGCTTCTAAGTTACCTACTCTTCACCCCACTGGCTGCATTTCAGGTGGGCAGCGCCGCCAGGTGAACACTCAATCCACCGCAAACATACGAACACTCTTTTCAATATCAGATTACCATAAAGATAGAGGAACACACCCTGAGCAAAATCCTTCCTGTCCAGTCACCTTAAAGCCTCTTTCATTGTTCTCCGCGACGCAGCCTGTAAAACTGCCAAAGGAGCGCTGAGGCCAAAGTCCACGCGCTGCGCAGGCGCACCATCCGCAGCGTTGGCGAAAGGCGGGGCAGGAAGGACGTTTCCCAGAAGGCCCCTCCATCGCAGCTGCCCTTCCTCCCGCTCACAGGCCGCGCGACGTGACTCCACCCACCACGCTTCTCGGTCGCAAACAGCAGTTTGCCAGCGCCCCCCTGCGGCCCGGCTGGGCACTGCGAACATGCACTCAGGGCCAGAGCGAGAGAGTAGGCCGAGCGCGGCGAGTCCGGCAGCCGCCGTCGTCACCTTAGCGCGCCGACAGTGAGCCAAGCGAGCGAGGGAAGGGAGGAGGAGGGAGACGCGCGGGGAGGGGAGGGGAGGGGAGGGAGGAGGCTAGACAAGGCGGGGGAAGGGGGAGTAGCGGTGGCGCAAGTCGCGCGGAGCAGCGCAACCCGGGTCGCTCCCTGCTTCGCCGCCGCCTCCGGACCGAGCCAGCGGAGTCAGTGTCCCAGAGACCCTATAACACCACAAAGCGGACGAAGGAGTCCATGTTGGGGAACTTGTTGGCGGAGTGACTGGGACCTGGGAACCTGCTGTGTGGCCGCGGCCGGACCGAGCGCCTCGACCTCGGCCTGAGGTAAACTGGTCGACCCGCGGGGTGGATGGGCTTGGGCAGCTGTCTGGGCTAGACGCGGGTTAGCGGCCGGCGCAGGGCGCTGGAGCGGGCCTAGGGCGATGGGAGGGCTGACAAAGTTTCGGAATCTCGCGCGGCCCGTGCGACGTCGTGCGCTGGGAGGAAAGTTGGAGCTGCCTCTCGAGGTGGGGGAGGCTGCGGCCGGGAGGGCCGCTTTCCCTCTCGCTGCCCCGCGAGGGAGGCCCGGCCCGACCCTGGGCCGCCGCCGCCTCTCTGTCGCACTCCGTCCCATTTCCTCCTTGTGGCCTACGCGCCTCCCGCCGCCTTAGCCGGCGAAGCCCGTCCCCGCCCGGGTGCAGGGTCCTACGGGGGGACCAGGGGCTCCACGCCAGAACCGCCGCAGACGCCCTCCTCCCTGCGGTGGAAACGTGTCCTGCTGAGCTTCCGGGCGCTCCCGACCGTGGGGTGGGCTTTTCTTGGGAGACTTTGGTCGCGAGCGTCCAAGCCCGCTAGTGAAACCAAACTTTACTACGCCGTGACCTCTCGTGTGCGCGAATGGGGAAGAGCCGGCGCTTCTAAGCATCAGCCTTTTTCACTCCGTGATCTGAACTTCAAACTACTCACCCACCCCCAATGTTTTAAATTCGCTACCTGGGCTGACAGCTACGGGGCCGGGAGATATAAATTTAGCCTAATCGGTCGCCCCTCCTCAGACTTAGGAATTTTGAACCATTAGAAAGATTTCTTACAGATGGCTGGCGGTCTTTCCACCAACACCTATTTTGGAGTATTGTTTCAAAAGTAGACGCTCGATTTAGAGTACTAGATTTAGACATTCACAGATTCAAATACTGAATTTTGAAATACCTTCAATATATTTCCGTACTGTATTACATACAGTGTCTACCAGCTGACTGTTGTTCATTCATTTTGGGTTACATTTTGGCTAACATGCTACCACTGACCTAAGATACGTAAGCAAAACTGCAGAAAAATGTTTTTAATGCTTTGTGTAGTAGATGCTGATGTTACATTTTCTCCGCTTTGGGAATTTCCCCCGAAATTTGGGAAAAGCATATTAATTAATGCATTATTTTTTCGTTTTAAAAGAAAAATTAATTTCTACATATCACTACCTGCCTCAGCAGCAGAATATCAGGGCAGTACATTTTAAAATAACGGTTTTTGTATTTTATTAGTAATTGTATTAAAATTTTGACATGTAATCAAGTCTGTTTCTAAACAATTGCTTTCTCTTTCCTGTTTCTTTGGCAGTTGGCTTGATCATCTCACTATTTTGGTCAAAAGATGCAAGAAAAAAGTTCATGGGCCTTTTGTTTTTGTTGTTTTAACTCGGTGGGCAAGAAAAATGAAATCTTGAAACTGTCTTTGGATTTCTTGTGTTCTATATTATCCTATCGGATAATCTGAATTTACATTTTTTATGCAATGTGAGTTTTTTAAAAATAGTAGTTCTTAGGGTAGCTGTATTTTAGCTGTATTTTTTGGTGCTTGCAAAGTATTTTTTGGTGCTTGCAAATATTTTAACAGTCATTCAGTTTTTCACATTCAGATAGTGAACTTTTTGCCTGAGAGTTTGAGTACATTTTAAGATTTCATTGGGGTAAAATTTGAATGTTTGCTTACTGTAAGTATACTCATGCTTTAAAGACATTCTTCAGTATAAAGGGGAAGAAAACTGTAGAAGAAAATTTAAAGTTTCTAAATATGTTGCCTGAAAACATGTCATGGAGGATATATTACGGAGAGTTTTTTTACTTTTTCTGTTAATACCTTCGTGTGGTAATGGGGCCAGTGTGTTAAGATCAAAACTTTTCAGGAGTTACTTAGCTCCCTATCGTCGTTTGGCACCAGCTAGGGCTTAGACAGTTTTCTTGAAAACCTGTGCTTTTATTCACAGAGATAGGATGAATCAGTGCAGTTACATGATACTGTTGATTCATCATCAATAACATCTTTTAGTAATCAGAAAGTGCAGTATTATACTACCCATCAACTTAATACTGAACTTTTAAAGTATATCGGAGATAGTCGTAGCATCTAAAAGAGAGTAGCAGGCATAAAAGTAATAAAAGGGAAGTCAACTGTAGATTAATTTTCATTGTAACTTCCCTTTAGCAAACCCTGCATCACCTGCTCTTGTCTTTTAATGATGTAAATTGTACCTTGACAAGGTTTACCTTGCCCAGTGAAATAAACTTAAAATCCAGATTTTTAATTATAGTCTGTCCCCCAAAATAAATTAATAGCCTTGCACCTTGTCTTGCTTCTGAGCAGTAATACTGTTAGTAATACTATTACTCAGCAGTAATACTGAGTAGAGCCCAGAGTTAAAATATCCAGTATCATTTTCTTGCTATTCCCAAAACTCATCTTTGCATTATATATTTTTTTAGTTGTATCTATGAACTTAATATATGAATTCCTAGTACATAGACACATAAAAATTCAATACAAAGCATAAAAACACAACCACTATTTTGCTTTCAGAAATATCTTCCTAAAAAGTCACTGTGATCTTTGCTGATCTACAGTCTTTAACACTCCATAGCCAGAGTGATCCTGATAAAATGTCAGGTCATGTAACTTCTATTCTCAGATGACTTCCCTTCTCAGTCATAGTAAATTCCATACTCCTATGGTCTACAAGGCTCTATGATTTGACTGTCTTCTTCCTCTCTGACTTCATCTCCTCACTGTTTCTCCAGTCTCCTTTCCCCTATGCTGTCGTGGTCTTTTCTAACTACTATGCATAAAACAACAGCCTTCCCCCCGGTATTTCGTATCTGTTTTTATACCAGATTTTTCTCCATAGCATTTATCATTTTGCAACATGCTGTGTAATTTACTAACTGAGGTTTATTGTTTATTTTCTTCACTCTAATTTAGCTTCTGTGAGGTCAGCATTTGTCAGTATTGGTCACTGTTTTGTCCCTAAACACTTGAACAATGCCTTACATGTAAGTTAATGAATTAACATGCTTTCAGCTATAAACATTACAAATAGTGATTGTGATTTGAAAGTTTAGACTAAGCAAGTCTCTGTGGCATAAACTGCCCAGTTACTTATATCCATGCACGTGAGCCATGTTCATTTCAGGGGTCCTTGTTTTTTGTTGTTACTGTTTGTTTTGTTTTTGCTTTCAGATAGCATCTCACTCTGTCTCCCAGACTGGAGTGCAGTGGTGTGATCACAGCTCTCACTATGGTGCCCAGGCTGGTCTCAAATTCCTGGGCTTAAGTAATCCTCCCACCTTGGCCTCGCAAAGTGCTGGGATTGCAGGAATGAACCCCCACACCCAGCCTAAGGGGTGTGTGTTTTTAGAGGAGTGTGACAGTATGTGACCTTGAAACTATCATTTGTCTTAATATAGAAGGAGCTAAGAATGCCTCAGCTAAGAGTAGAGCAGTGTAATAGTTTGTTTTCACGCTGCTAATATACCTGAGACTGGGAAGAAAAATAGGTTTAATTGGACTTACAGTTCCACATAGTTAGGGAGGCCTCAGAATCATGGTGGGAGGAGAAAGGCACTTCTTACATAGTGGTGGCAAGAGAAAATAAGGAAAATGCAAAAGCGGAAACTCCTGTTAAAACCGTCAGATCTTGTGAGACTACCAAGAGAACAGTATGGGGGAAACTGCCCCGTAATTCAAATTATCTCCCAACAGGTTGCTCCCACAACACGTGGAAATTATGGGAATACAATTCAAGATGAGATTTGGGTGGGGACACAGCCAAACCATATCAAGCAGTATAACTATCTTATTGTTAAAAATGTTGTCATTTAGAAGCCATATTAATTTCTTATAGTTCCAGAAGGCAGAACTAGGATTGTGGTGATATGTATTGAAAGGGAGGAGAGAGGCAGCAAGAGGAGATCTGGGAGAATTAGTTAGCAGGCTTTTCTAGTAGTCTGGGAGAGATCAGGATAACTTGAATTAGGATGATAATTGTGGAGATGGGCTCAGTGGATGGGATTTGAGACCAGCAGGCCTCAGTTAATAGATTGAAAGTGAGGGAGAAAGAAATTTGAAAGATGACTTCTGGATTACATTCCTAGGTTGTGCCAGATAAGGACAAGAGCTCTTTTGGTTTTAATATATCAGGCTTAAAGTACCTTTGGAGCTTTCAGGTAGAAGTTCCTGTAAGTAATTAGATATATGGTTCTAAAATCCAGAGGAGGAATATGGGCTGGAAATGGAAAACTGGAGTCACCCATACAGGTAATTGGAACTATAGGTATGGATGAAATTGCCTAGGTGAGGGAATATAACTTGGGGGGAAAAAAGCTTAGGATGGAACCACAATGACCTCTAACATTTAGAAAACTTGGCTGGGAGAATGTGAGCTCCCAGAGAATACTGTGAAGATCAGAGAAGTAGAGGGTGAGTGGGGTGTTACAGAAACCAAAGGAAGAGAGTGTTACAAGAAGAGAGAAGTCAAGAAGAGAGAGTTGGGTCAAATGTTGATAAGAGTTTAATAAGGTAAGAACTAAAAAAAAAATTTGTTGACTGTAACAATGTGAAGTTCATTGGCCCTTTGAACAAGCAGGACAGTAAGGTGATGCTTCTATAATTGCTTAACTAGATCTAAAAGTATTGAGATCAAAGTTTAATTATCACCCATATTACAGAAGACAGCTAATGTTTATCAGATATTTACTATGTGTCAGCCACTCTGTTGTAGACATTTTACATAAATTTTCATTTGATCTTTTCAGTAGCCTTGCAATGTTGAATGTATTAGTCCATTTTACAGAAATGAGTCTGGGGTTCTGGAGAAGTTAAATGACTTAAGTGTCAGAGAAGTTGCTAAGTATCTATACCTGGGTCCATCTGACTTTCAATCTTCGGTTGTTTCACTGATCTAGAAGCCTGTCAACCTCTAGATCAGTGCTGTCCAGTAGACAGTTCTGTAATAATGGAAATGTTTTGAATCTGTATTGCCCGGTGTAGTAACTGATAGTGACGTGGTTGTTGAGCACTTGCAAAGTGGGTAGTGCAGTTGAGGTACTGAATAGTGGTTATCATATTGGACGATGCAGATAGAGACCAAAGGTCATTGACAATCTCCTAAATAATAAAGCAGGGTCTTATAAAAAGAAGAGGTGAAAATACATACTGTCATACTGTTCTTCATTTAAAAGGAACACTGCTTATCTTCTGTAAGTGAATTTTATAGGTAACTGTAAAAAAAAATTCTCAAAGTTTCAGAAAAGTTCCTAGTACAGTACAAAGAACTTTTCCCCCTTGAGTCTTTTGAGAGTAAAT